CCATGCAAACTTCCGAGAGAGGGAAGCAATTAGCTGTCCTACCTGTCTGTGATACCAGTGATGCACGGTGAAGCTAGACTATTGTAAGTGTGTCCAATTTCTTTTTCTTTCTTCTGTTTCTTTTTTTCTGGTTTTGTTGTATTCTAACTCAATACATTTAGAATTCAAGAGGAAAAAAAATAATGGTTGTATTAAATAAGAATTCAATTATGAGCAAAAGCACTTTATATTTGTTACCATAGTTACCAACCACACTTGTGTGTGGTGTTAGAGGAAATGGCCTCCGTCACTCTGAGTAATTTCAGGAAATGCTTTTGAGGGAATGAGCAGAGAAGGTCAACTGGGGTGGGGGGGGAGGGTGAGGACCCTCCCAAGGCAGGACAGTTGCTAACTGAGCACTCTGCCAGTGGGTTTTAGAGTTCTGCCATATAGTATTGTTTATGGATGGGAATTGTCCTTCTGCTGTGATATAATGCCCACTTAACTCCATACTAGAATAATATTCGAACTCCAGAAGTCTACTAGCTTCCGTAGGATGCTGTTGTAGTTTGTGACGTTTTAAGGCTATTTAAGTAGAGCAAGCATTAGCAGTTCCCTGTATTTGTAAGCACTGACTGTATTGCAAAGGACTGAGATTAAGCAGCAAGGATGGAGCCAGCTGATAAAGTCCGCTCTAAGTGGCAGCTGTGTGCCTGAAGCGTGGCGCATCCTTCCCCAGATGTGCGCCTTCCATCGTAGAGCATTTGGACCTTATACGGTGTTTTGACACTGTTTCATAGTAGCTACATTTGAGCCCATGCTGTTTTGTTGTTTGGTTTTGATTTGTTTTGTTGCTGAAAGGTGATTGACACCAGTGGATCTTTGAACATGCACACCGAGGCTACAAAAGAACTTAGAGCTGACTGTGTATTTGGGAGAATCGGGTGAAAAACAGCAGTGATGACTGCAGGGGGAGGCAGGAATGCGCGGGGGAGGGGGGGGAAGGTCATACAGTGACAAGGCAGGGTGAAGTATAAGAATAGAAGATGCTCTAGGACTTTCCCAGACACGAGACTCGAGGTGAACGGTGAAGGTGGGCGTGTCGGGGTTTGTAGGAAGTTAGATGGCTCTTTGACAGTCATTGTCGTTAATCTTGGCCGCTGTCTTTTCCCAACTTAAAGTCCTTGTTCCTTCCAGGAGAACCCTAAAAGTGAGCCATCCTTTCTTCTCTCCCTACAGCAGAGGCTACATTCTAAAAGCCCCAACCTGTCTCTACAGCCCCCTCTTTACTGTTCTGTGACTACAAACCTCTCCTTGTGTTTTGTGCAGGTCTAAGGGACTCTTGCAGGAAGTATATGTTAGCGAGAAGGACTGATAAAGCAGCTTACACCACACGGTTGGAAAGTGTTATTAAAGGGTATTAAGGGCAGCACATGGGGGAGGGAGTGTTATTAAGAAGACTTAATATTGTACTTAGTATTCACCACCACTGTTGGCCATAATAATCCTCACCAATGGGGTCTAGAGCGTGGTGACTTCTGGAGTTTTGGGCTAGAAAGGCCCCCTGTGGGCAGTTTGACTTTTGTGACACTCACATTCTTGAGAGTCCCACCCACAGTGTCCCTGTGGTCAAAGATCTACTGTCAGTTCCGTCCAGTTGGTGTACACAGGGGGTTGGGAGCTTTAGCTACAGGATCAGTAGAGAAGGATCTGTGGGTCAGCTGGCCAGCAAGGCAGGACAGACTGTGGGACCGACCCATCAGTGCAGAACCCAGGGAGCCAATCATCACTCCTTTGCTCTTCCCGGACTCATATCCTAGCCCCTTATCTTTCTTCCCACATGAAAACAAACCAGCGAACGTCCCCATCCACATGTGTTGCTGGCCCTTTTTAAGGAGTTACGTAGCCACAGCGATTTTGGAAAAGAAATCACCTGAGAGAGAGTGATTGCCTAAATGGGCCTAGAGAATAGACTTGGTTTTGAAAAGCACCAGCGCCGCCCACCCTGCCTAAACCCTTGTGGGGCCGTTAGCAATGCCCAGGGCCAGAGCCTGGTTCAGCTAGAGGGCTCCACGTCTGTAGAGGTCTGCCAGGCGTCTGGGTGGGCACTCGCCAGGTCTGTTTGACCCCACTGCACCGTCCTCACTTTGCATTTTCCCTGTGTTCTGGTGATTCTCGATGATTCATTCATGCGTCCATATCTGGCAAAAGGATGGAGATAACTTTTATCACATATTCCTGAAGAGCTAGTCTTCTGGTAATTGAATGATCTCAACAGCTGGTAGCAGCGTAAACACTGTCCACCAGTGACATCTTAAAGATTCTGTCTTCAGTCCGTTATCAGTCCCGCCTCTGCCCCCGGTGCATGTAAAGTTGCTACTGAAAGTTCTGGTACCACGTGGACTCTGCACATGAATTCAGTCCATCTGAGTAATCAGCAGCTGTGCTCAAAATAGCTGGTGTCCTAGTCATCCCTTTCTGGAGAGTTCAGCACTTAACGGTCCTTGGGGATCCTAGCCTAGAGTCAAAACTGCTACCGCAGCTTATTGTACTGGTCCAAAAGCTGAGGTGCGCACTGCCAACTGCTGCCTGCCTACTGGCCTTGACAGTCATGCAGATGGGCTCTTACAGGCTACTGTAACTCCACGTTACACTGTTATGCATGGTTGTAGCCCCCTGGGACTTTTGCAGACATCCACAACTTAGCTTCTTACATGTCCAGAGAAAATACAGGCACACTAAACGGTTCCTGTGAACTATCAGAGAGCCTAGGCTCCTGTGATTTGCAAAGCTGAATCGTTTCAGGCAAGGGACAGTGCTTGGAGTTAGGGTGCTTGCCAAGCATATGGGAAGCCCAGCACTAGACAAAAAGTTGAAATCGCCTTTTGCTATATGTTTGTTCTCATGAAGGTTGATGTAGGAGTGGTACACTTTACACCTTTGATACAGCCCAAGATCCAGCAGCCGTTCAAGCTGGTAGAAAAAGTTGTTCAGAACACGTTTCAGTTCCGAAGGAAGTACTGCCACCGAGGACTCGGGTAAGAATCCCTTGTTTACTTTAGGACTCCTAAAGGGCATGTACGACTGGCTGTTGGTTTAGTCCCTGTGGTGGGCAGCATGCCCACCATGGAGGAAAAGCCCTTTGTTCACCTTAGCTGCCCTGCCATGTACAGGTTTGGTTGGTCTGGTCCTAAGTACAACCTAAAACCCTCAGGTGCACAGCTGCTGCCGACCTCCTGCTAGGCAGGTCCTGACTGCTCGGGGAGGACTCAGTGGGCTGCTGTCCTCTCCCTTCTGGAAGGACACACCCGAGAACTAGAAAGCAGGCATGCCTTCTTAGCAGCTGTGATGTCATTGCGTGGGTCTTCTGCCTCCACTCAGTGGGAGCTATTGTATTCTGTCAGGCTTACTGATCCACACGGCACATGGGCCTTCCAGAAAAGCAAGCCTGAGTCCTGGCCCTGCCCAGCAGCGGCCACACCGATCACTTCCTGTCTGTCAGGGTTTAGGAGGTTTAGTTATGGACTCAACAGTCAACGGTCACCGCTGAAAAGGGTGGGCCTGCACTGCAGTGTTCGTTTTCTGAGACCGACACGGATGCAGTTTGGTTCCGTGCAGGGATGTATGAAGTGTGGGTTAGTGCAGGAAGCAACTTCAGGTGTGTAGAGGCCACCGCATCCTGAAACGGATGCATCTAGTGAAACCCTCTCTCAGGATTGTCCATTATGAGTGTTGATTCTCAGCTTGCCATTTATTGATTATAATTTTAAAGTATAACTCACAGAACTGTACACACTAGTGCTAATTGGACGTGGCGGGAATCCCAAAACAGTCCATCTTACTTTGGAAGTTCCTAGAATTGATTGGCCTACTGAGCCCTGTTTACTTCACTGTACCTTCCTCTACACAGCCAGGGACTGGGTACCAGAGTTCACTTTGGAGAATGACTGTTGCTGTCTGTCAGTCACACCATGCTACAAACTTGTCCCAAGGGTTGAGAACTGTTATTAGACCCTCTTTATCCTGAAACTGAATCCATTGAATCCAAGTCACCTCACCTTAAAGGTTGGAGAGTGTGTATCACCATCCGCCTAGAAGGAGAATTTTCAGCCTTCACAGACCATGGCCTCTGCCAACCCTTTGGATGAGCTCCATGGCCAAGGTCCAGGCACTCTTGCAAGTTTCAGGCATCTGGGTTCACTCCTGAGAAAAAACAGTTGACCTGTTTAATTAAATAAAACTTAAAATGCACACTTTGAGTTTTAATTGAGTTTTAATGATGATTAACTATTTGTTTTCCTAACAGACAAGTCAGCCCTTTGTAAAACCACTCTCCCTTTTGGAGTAAAGGGTTTTTAAGATTTTAAATCTTCATGTTATGGAGACTCAATCAGAAATTTATCAAATAAGATCTGATAAAACTTTACCAAAATAAGGGAAATCAAATTTTCATTTCTTTTTGGCTTGGGAAGATAGCCTTCCTTTGAGGACACTCGTTGCAAGTCTTAGCTTAGACCTGCCTTCAGGGGCTCGGACCTGGTGACCCTGAGCACCCAAGAGCCTCAGGCGTCTATGTGTGTGTCAGTTCGAAGTTTATACAAAGATACGTCTTGACTGATGTAATTGAAGTAAACATTCCACCCCATACTTTCCTTTCAGAATGTTATTCCCCGAAGCTCAACGCCTAGAAAACACTGGAAAGCTGCTACAGTTGGCAGACATCGACCCAACCCTCCGGCCCATCCACCTCTCGCTCATGCATTTTAAGAGCCTGTGTGATGTATACAGAAAAATGTGTGATGAAGACCCACAACTCTTTACTTACAACTTCAGAGAAGAGCTGAAGCAAAAGAAGAGAAAAGGCCAGGAGAAAGGCGATGACGCAGAGGACGGAGAGTCCTAACTGCTGCTGTCAGGGCTGCGAATCCACAGTGCATCCTCCGCGGATGGCCTCTGGCCCAACACCAGTGACCAGGTGACTTATGTGCCATTGCTACTTATGAAAATAAATATCAAGTAGATACAGTACAAGCTTTCCTTTAATATATAGATACGACATGTTTAGTATAAACAGCATTTATTACAACCTTCAAAAATGAATTGTCTGCACATTGTGTCCCTAAACCACATAAAAATAACTTAGATGTGCTTTAAATAAAGCAAAAAGTTAACAGCTCAAAGAAAATGCCCAGAGGATTGAAGGAGGGAGCCTTTTAAACGCTATTAATCACAACTTTCCCAACCTCGCTTTTCCCACATAACTTAAAGTAATTAGAATTCGATTTTATTACAAGACTAAATCATTACATTTCTGCTCAAAACTATGTAATTTACAGGTCCTAACCAGCTTAAATCTCTAGTTTTCTGATCCACAATAAATTAAAATAACTTAAATCTTTACAAGTTTTGTGAAAGAATATAAACTGCACAAAACCCAGACACGGATGGTTTTCCTGCAGGTTGTCCCACCAGTTTAAAATCAAATGGGCGTGTCGTGCGTCCCCCGTACCACTCCTGCTATGACTTGCCGTGGCTCTGGGCTCCGTAAAAACACTCCTCATTAACGACCGAAGTTAAGCTCTGTACACTGAATTCCCGCTCCAGAACCAAATTGAGATCAATGCTGGCAGTCTCGGGGTGGCTGTCAAGGGACTGGTGACGAGTCTGCGCCTTGAGCAAGGTTTCTCTGCCCCTCTTGGTGCTGTTCGCTTTGCGTTTAATGGGGCAAAAGTGACCCCTGACCAGCCTGGGCTGCACGCCTGGCCCTGTGGTAGGCTGCTCCCCAGCGGGGTGCGTGTCAGACCCCTCAGAGATCCTTAGCCTCTGGAACTGAAGCTCGATGTCCTTAGTCGGGCTGCCCTGTTTCAGGGGGAGGTGGAGGTCCTCGTCTTCATCACTCAGAATGTCGCTTTCTTTGATGAGACCATCTGGAAACTCTGCCAGGCCCTCCTGAGGCTCTTTCTCCGGCACGGTGGCCTTACAGTCTTGCCTGTTCTCAGCCAGCGGGCAGCCGCTGCTCTGGGTGCCACTGCTCAGGCTACACTCATCCGAGTCCAGTGAGTTGCCCTTGCTGGGCTCGCCGGGCCACTCGCTGCTGGAGGATGTCCTGAGGACCTTCAAAGACCTCGACGAGGCTACGAAGAAAAGAACATGTCTCCATATGACATAGAAACGGTCTACAGTTAGAGGTAAGGCCTCGGAGCTGGGGCACTTCGTCCCAAGGTTTTATTATGTGAGTTCAGTGACCTATCTTGGCATTTAGGTGGCAAGACCAGGTAGGTATATCAAACAGTGAGTTTACTGGTTGATGTCTTTAGGGGTCTTGTTGCTGGGTCTCTTAAACGTGTGCTCATCCTGCCTCCTCCTGAGTGCTGTGATCACAGTGTGCAACACCACACCTAGCCTTCTGCATGCCAGAGTCTGCCGAAGGCTGGGCAAGCATTGTGCCCACTGAGCTGCACCCTCACACATACCTGAAATTCTTATAAAGATTCCCAAGACGTCAGCACATAAAGGACCAACATCTACCATAAGGGCTAGAATTACTATTTTGCCAACGAGTAAATGTAATGGCTAATCACTAAAAAAAAATTAGGTTACATGGTTTTACTGCAGTACCTTGTACTCTGAAAATATACCATGTCTCTATGCATAGCCTCCCTGTTTATTTCCCTAGATGCCCCCATTAGAAGCTGAAAAACGTTCTTATCTCTCGAGCATTGAACATCGTCTCTGCTGCAATTTATAACCAACTTTGGGAGAATTAGCACTGTACCCATTTGTGTGTGTGTGTGTGTGTGTGTGTGTGTGTGTGTGTGTGTGTGTGTGTAAGACTGATTCTGTTCTCTCTTCGTCTGAATGTCCCTGTAATCGTCTAGCGTCATATTAGTGTTGATGACAAAGCAGGGAAGGGGGAGGGGGGAAATGTGTGTTCTAGAAGATTACAAACAAGATCTCAGGGATGAAGGTCATGGTAGAAGTGCCAGCTTAGCACTGAGAAAAAGATCCTGGGTTCACTCCTTAGCCCCACCACGGGGGGGGGGGGGGGGGGAATACATCTTAAAAGAAGAAACAAAACATTAAATCTGGGAAGCAGGCAGAAAGATGAACAGCACATTCCAGGCTGACGACCTGCTGGCGTGAGTGCGTTCAGTCCTGTGATCCGCATCAGGGACCGGCCTTCCGGAGGCCTGGCTAAGCTAAAGCCCCAGGCGAAGAAGCAAGTAAGATGGTAAGTGCCATTGCACCATGCCAGCCGATAGGACAGGACAGGGGATGGGGGATTGGAGGGAGGTGTAGTTCACGAAAAGATGATGTGGGGGAGCGGTCTCAGGGCTGTATTACAGGCCCATGGTGTTGTCTGCATTGATAGTCTCACCTAATTTGGCTGAAACGGGAACTCGGTTCTTGAGCGGAACCAGACGATCCTTGCATGTCTTCTCCGGTGGTAACTCACACTTTATATGACGCCTGAAGTTCTCTCTCAGGATGGAACGAATCACTTTAACAATACTAGTTTTGCTCTCACTGTCACTGGGGAAAGAGAAGCAAGACAATATGCATTATGCTCTGTCCATTCTGCGGCATTGTGGGCCTTCCTGGGACTCAACCTTGGCTAGCTCGGCCTCGTGCCTCAGAAGCTAGCAAGGTCCCCCACCAATGTGTGCCTGGCTTCTCTGACTTAAAGGACTGAGAATTGATCATTCTGTCTGATCAATACATTTTACTGGAGCCACGGTTGCCCCCTTGTAAGTAGAAGTTGTACCCTCATACCAAATTTCAGGCAGGTACTGAAAATACCACACACGTTAAAGATTTACTTGCGTGTGTGTGTGTGTGTGTGTGTGTGTGTGTGTGTGTGTGTGTGTGTGTGTGTGTGTGTGTGTGTGCGCGCGCGCGTCTATTATGTGTATCCCACATGTGTTAGGTAGGGGTGATGTTGGGCACTGAAGAGACCAGAAGTTGTCAGATCCCATGAGCTAGAGTTACAGGTGGTTGTAAGCCACCCAGCATGGGTGCTGGGAACCAATCCCAGGCCCTGTGGAGGAACAGCAAGCCCGTATGACTGCTGAGCCATCTCTCCAGCCCCTGCACTCTCCTTAAAGGAGACACAGTTAGTTAAGTCATATCCGTTTGTCAAGGGAAGTACCTGCAACACAGCTGAAAGATGGTTTCCGGCCGCCCTTCAATTTCTGACTTTGTATGAATCAGCTCCCATATGGAATTACTTTCAGTCCCTGGGCAAAGGAAATGGAAACAAGGGTCTACGACTGTGCCAGGGTGCTGTGGTTAAGAACACCTGAGGTACTCACAATTCAAAACACTGCCAGTTCTGTGTGTGCATTGTCTCCAAAGCCCGCTCGGAGACATTAACAAACAGCTACAAAAACTGAGGTGGAATTCTCCGCCCGTCTTTGGTAGTCGGTAGTTTTGGGTTTTGGCTTTGCTTTTGCTGTGTTTGTAGCAGGATCTCACTCTGAAGCCCATGCTATCCTTGAACTTGTGGCAAGCTCTTGCCTCAGCTACCAAGCTCCAGTTCTTTCCCTGACTTAAGATTTTAGCCCCGTTCTTGAAACAAACAGGAGTATTTATTTAGGGACTTCAGGTGACAGGGCCCCTCCCTCCCATGCAGTGTTCTTAGACAAAAGTCACCACATAAGCCTTTGGCCTTCTATCACCAAAGGCTGTTTGTTACCAGTTACTGGAGAATTATTCCAGAAGGTCCTTAGGACACTGTTCAGGATCACAGGAGTGTTTTGTTATTTTTTTGTCCCCCCCCCTTTTATTTGCACTGCCCTTAATATTAAGGAATATTCTAGTATGTTTAACTTTATAAAATTTGATTTTGTGGTTCTTTGTTGAATAGATTTTAGGGAATGAGATCACATGGTAAAAAGGAAAATGTTGACAGTCGTTGACTCTAAAAGTGAAGGAACAATGCCCAAGCATATGAGGAAGGTGGCCAAACAATGGCACGTTTCCTTCCAACAGAGTAAAATGTCACAGCAACCCTGTCCTCATGTTATTTTTCTAGAAAGTAAACTACATGAAAAATTATCCCCGGGTACTGTGGTTTAGGAATGTCTCCAAAGACCCGTGCACTTTCAGACTTGGTGAGCCTGTGGCCTTACTGGCGGGGAATAAGGGGTAAAAACTCTAAAGGTAGGACCTAGGGAGAGGGTGTGCAAATCCCTCACCTTCCGTCTCTCTGCCCCTTGACCTCTAAGTGAACAGATGCCTGCCGTCACAGTACTATGGACTGAAAGCCATAACCACGTCCTGCTTTTTCATGCCACGTGCATGGAAAACACAGGAAAATGTTTGTTGCATTCCCCAAAGCACCTACCTGCTGTGTTTCCCAGTCTAACTTGAAGTGCAGATATGGGGATGAGCCATCGGAACTTAAAAGGGTCCAAGTCAGCAGAGTTGTGCGCAGGTCGGGAATTTGAAGGCTGCAGTGTGAGAGGCCACCAGAAAGGGTTAAAGTCGCGTGTACCGTGAACAGAGCTATCTAGATCTGTGTGCAGGACTCTGTGGGTGTCTAAGAAACCATGTGAACCCCCAGTTCTCAGTGACCTCTACGGCCTGGGCCAGAGTGATACTGCTTGTCTCTACTCAGAGACGGCAGCCATGCCTTCCTGCAGTCTCCCATTCTTGCAGGGTTACAGTGTCTGTGTGTGGCCAATCTTTGAGTAGTGTGGAGTTTTCTCTTTGGGTCCACATAGGTGTTTGTTGTAATCATCTCTTAAACAGATGGACAGCTGTGCCACTTCTGAGCGTCTGTGCAGAAAATTCCATACCACAGAAATGTTTGCACCCCATGCTTAGGCTGCTCTGTTTGCCACTATAGCAGAGAATTGGAAGCAAACTATTGTCTATCAAAAGATGAATGGGTAATGAAAATTGGTGTATGTGTGCATACAACTCTCAAGAAAATAGATCAAAGTTAAAAGAGGATATGAAGCTAATTGTTTTCCTAGTTCACATTTTCTCATGAATATTTGGGTTTTGGTGGTGGATATGTGCATAAAATATACTCAGCACTGTGTGAAGTTTACCACAAAGCTCCGCAACTTCCTAATTCCTGTTCTGACCGTTAGAATAGACATAGTTGTGTAGGCTTTGGGTGTGGTAAATCAGACAGCTGGGTTAAGTACTGTGACAACGCGGCCGTGATTCTAAGCCAGCTTTTCAGTACGACGCAGGCACGAGCCATGGAAAGGCAGCTTTAATTAAAAGGTATTTTCTCTTACCGGTTTCTTTTTCAGTTTGCAGTTTTCTTTATAAACCAGTATGACAGCTCTCTTAAAAACTAAAAAGAGAAAGAACGGTCTTGTTAGTTTCTGCAAACTCTTCTAAGGTTAAGCTGGGATGGGCACTGCATGGGAACGACACCCTTCAAAGCCAGGACTGAAATCCCGCTACGGTAACACCTGCTCTGCCTTGCTGACTTGACCTGTGCTTAGAAAAGCTGGGCCTGCATTTGATTCTCCATCGCTTAATGGACAGCTGAGGCCATGGCACCAAGGTCTCAGTGAGAACACACTCTAACTGGCTCTCCCAGTGGTGGGTGAGAAGGGAGAGGGTCTGAAACGTAGCACTGTTCAGACAGCAGGTTTCCAGACGGCCTCCTCCGATGCTGCCCTAGCGGGCCTGTGAGGTAGCAGCCACTGCAGCATCGTCCCTACTCCCCGACACCAGGAGTCAGCAAGAGTGGTAATGGTAGTCAAGCTTTTTGTGACTGCCGATGCTTCTGAACCGGAGTACCAACCAAATACTGTGAGCTCGATGTCCTTCCTGGCTTTTCCTAGAGAGAGGAACGGGTTCAGCCAGGACACTGTGGAGTGCGTCAGGAGTTCCCCCATGGACAGCTCTGTCACCTGCATTGTAAAGACAAGAAACAAAGATGAGGTAATCTCAGGCGAGGGCTCTTCATGTGACACAGAAGTGCTTCCATGTGGTCGTGCTGAAGAGCCCACAGGAACTGTTCTGTCCCTAGGAACTCACCCCTTTAGTAACGGACGTCCTGCCCGCCGGGCCAGCGCCTTACACTGAGCTACCGCCCTGGCCCTCCCTGTTTTTGTGGTTACAGACCAGGTCTTCCTAGATTGCCCAGGCTGGCCTTGAACCCCTATCCTGTAACCCAGACAGGCTTTACTTGTGCCTAGGCTGTTAAGTAGGATGTGGGGGTGTTCATCTTTAAGGTGCTTCCTTGAGCTTCCTGTTTCTAGGTTTTTCAAGACCAGGGTTTCTTTTCTGTAGACCAGGCCGGCCTCTGCCTCCCGAGTGCTGGGATTAAAGGTGTGGGCCACCACCGCCCTGCTTAGCTTCAGTGCACACTTAAGATAGGTGACAGTTCTGCCACCGTGGACATGGTTGTCTACAGCAGTGTTTCTCAATCTGTGGGTCACAACCCCCTTTGGCTGACCCTTTTGCAGGGGCCACATATCAGGTATTTGCATTACAATTCCTAAAAGTAACAAAATTAGTTATGAAGTAGGAACAACATAATTTGATGGTTGGGGGTCACCACAACATGAGGCACTGCCTTAAAGGGTCACAGCATCAGGACGGGTGTGAACCACTGAATTAATTCTAAGGGGTCTGTGTTAGTGTTAACTACAGGTCTCTAACCTACATCGGCTGCTAAAAATCAAATACTAACATTTGAAATTGACCTCAATAAATCAAGAAGTTCTGACCCTTTTCAATTCCTGCCACTTCCTACTTACACTGTTCCTTATGCCTTATATGTGCTTTCAAAGCTCAATGTTCTAAGCTTAGCAATCAGACAAAAATTAAGAGTGCATAAGATGTCAGCAATCACTGGGACTGTCTGAGTAAGCCGATAATCGGTTGTATCTAATCTGATGCTGAAGCAGAAAGGTAGCCAGGAGGGAACACAAGCCCTGTATTTACCCACATGTCGGCCCCCTCCTTCATCCTCCCAACACAGTCTTCCCTGCCTTCTGGTTTCTGGAACTAGACTTCACCCCATCAGAAAAAGAGGAGGAGGCTCCAGCTCAGTGGTGCCTCTCTTGTCTGTACTAAACTGTTCTAGACAGTATAATTATTTCACATATTAATAGCAAAAAAATGGCCGTGCTGCCGCCCCCAGGAAAGGCTAACCGAGTAGCGGCTCTGGAGGTACCCTAAGCTCATCCTGCCAAGCCCCCACAGACCTCCTTCTCTGTGCCACTCTGCTCCGCCACGAGCTGGTCGAACACTGTGCCGTAGTCCTCATAGATCTTCTGCATCTCGTTGATGTGGCTGGCTACTTTTTCCATGGCCTTTAGTGCTTCTGAAAAGGAGGAAGGTGTACTTACTCACCCTGCATCCCGCCAGATGCCGGTGGGTGTGGGGGTCCAGCTCTCCCCTCACGGGATGATTGAGGGAACGGCTCACAACAGCCCCCTCAATCCAGGAGTCAGAAGCGAGGGCAGTCAGATCACCATCTACCTCAGATTCTCTCAGAAATGAGCAGACTCTGAAAAGCACCAGTAATAAAGCTAGCCCAGGTCAGCCACACATGCTAACAGTGCCTTGTGTGTTCCCAAGGACACTGTGGCTGTAACCAACACATTTATTACAGCATATAAAACAGGTGCCCAGCACTGCCCAGCTTGGGGGCTGGGCCTGCTTTGGAAAGCAGTGTCTCCTCTATAACTACCTGGCCGATAGGAGTCCAGCACAGTTGTTCATTTACAACGGTCGAGTGCCCTACTCAATCACACAGGTTCCGAGCTTGGCTGCCCAGTTAAAAGTCCTACAGATGTCTGTAAAGTACAAACACCTGGCTGCAAGTGTAGTTGGCGGCATTTACGCTTAATACTTGTATAACTTGGGCAAGGGCATATGAGGGACTTGCCATCTATACGTTGTTCTCAGATTCAGTAGAGCTCTGAGATCTCCACAAGGTGGCGCCCCATCCAGCGAGCAGGAGCTCTCACAATGTTCACTGGCCAAGTGGCCACTAGACATATATGTTACATTATTTTAAAACTTTAAGTCAATCCCTCTGGCCAATCAGTAAGAACGATGTCACCATGAGAGAGCCCATAAGCCAGGCATAATGACTGATGCACTGATGCACACCTTTAGTCCCAGTGCTCAGGTGGCGGATCCCTGCGATTTTTTTTTTTTTTTAATTTGTTTTTCAGCCTAATCTACACACTGAGATCCTGCCTCTAATTGGTCAGTTTTTAAAACCCCCAAAGTACACTGACCTGAAGGATGGCTATATTGCGCTGTTTCGTGTATCTGTCACTAAGATTAGCAGTCGCAGAGCTGGGGGTTCACGGGGAAGAGCCGTACGCTTGGCCGGCTGCTGAATTCAAGCAGCCCCCTTCCAGCCTTACCTGTGAGGTGATAGTGTTCCTCACTCTCATGGTCTGTCAGGGACACAAGCTCCTTGAGGAGCAGGGGGTACTTGAGCACTCTCTGAACGGGCTTAATGAGGTAAGACTCCAGCGTGGAGGAATGCTGCTTGGTGGGATTCCGGGCGTCCAGGAAAGCCTTGAAGGCCTTGTCGGTTTTAGCTGCAAGCAATGGGTAAAAGGATCTTAGGAGCGCACGCCGGCACGAGTTAAACTGATTTATGTTCTCTTCCAGCCTACTCGCACGTCATCCCCTCAGTCCTACTGGCGTGCGCTAAAACCCCTGCGCTAATAAACACCCAGGGGCCCCACAGCCCCAGCAGGTCTGTCACACCTCCCGCAAGGCCTGCAAGGCTTCCTGGGATGGTAGAGGATGCAGTCCTCGCTCTGGAGGGCAACGTAGAGTCCCAATGCAGCTGTGCATACCCATCCACAGGCTGTCCCGGGTGGCCTAAAGATGAGCTTCAAACGATTCATTCACTGCAAAGAGCCAGAGAAAAGCACCCCCTTTCCTGTCCTAGCCCTGGCTGTCCCACTACACTCTTGATCTCGAAAAGTGGCGTCACGCTACCTCTGAAGCCACGCTACCCTCGCCCCACAGCTCCAAGGAGACTAGACTTTTAACAGCAGCATTGTAGTTCCTTCCACCAAGTATGGCGTATGGCATGGGGGACCCCTTAGCTAGGACTGCCTCTATCCATCAGTGTCAGAACGGGCACACACAGAAACACAGGTGCGGATGGACGACGGGGTAGTGCGCATGCCAGCCATCACTCTGGCTTCTCCTGGATGCAGTCGACAGGCAGGCCGTTTCAGAGCCAACCAGCTGGAAGGAATGCCCTACTTAAAGTAGGTTCCATCGCAAGGGTAAAATCTGCAGCCCTTGATCACAAGACCTCGCAGGTGGTGAGATGACCTCTCACCTTTATGGCAAAGGACAAGTTGGACTCAGTGCTTTTTGTCTTACTATGGCCTCACACCCTCTGTGACAGTAGGAGAGGAGGCAGCCTCTGGGAGAAACAACCAAACAACCGTAGTTATGCGCCTGGTTATCCACCCACTAAAAAGGCAGTTGTGCACTCAGTCCTTGGTTGAACGTGACCACAGAAGATGGATTTGGGCTACTTAGCCAGCTCACCGTCATTTGAAGCACTCCAAGGTGCGTTTTTTTTTTTTTTTGTTTTTTTTTTTTTAAAAGCTTGGAGTCTCTAGAATATTGTGAAGTCCTACTTTAAGTCAAATAGGTTTAAACCCAAGATTGTAGGAGAGTGGGCGGCCTCCAGGAGGCAGTTTTTCTGAGTTCCACAGGAAGCAACCATAGTTATATGCACTTCCTTGGAGTTTGATGGTGGAGGTTTTACTTTGTAGCTCCAAGTGCCCACGAACATTACCAGAAGAGTGGTAAAAACAGGGCATGCATTCTCTCCACTCACCCAAGCCTTGTGCCTGTAATGTTTGTACAGATAAACAGCAAAGTGACGCATGGCAAAGTTCGGAGCCCACCTGTTAACTGCTACCATCACTGCAAATAATCTGAAAAGTTTCGCCTTTTATCATTTTCAAGGTCGGGAGAGGAGGACAGCCCATTAAAGTCACACTTAACTCTCTACTTGCTGGATGCAGGCCTACCCCTTATTAACAGTTTTACAAAGACCTATAAAGGCTGTGAACAACTCACCTCGCTCTAGAACCTTCTGCACTTTTATGTGGTTGGCACAGAATCCACTGTACAGCTTAAAGTGGTCCGCATAATAGAGGAATGAGCCTCCAAGGGAAAAGAGCAATTTCTAGAAGGGATGAGAGAAAGTCAAATCAAACATTTCTTCTTCCATGTGCTCTGGCTGCAGCGGGTAATCTGCCTCTGACAACTCTGTGCTGTGTGTTTCGGTCTGAGGATGGAGCCCTAGCACACCTCGAGGTGGATGGGAAAGGGTCTAGCACAGGAGCTCCCTGGCATCAGATTACCTGTATCACATAGATGGGATTGCAGTGATCTAAGGGGGGGGGGGCTCTCAGAGCCACCTGCTCCATTACCTGGGAAGAACTGTGCCTACTGCATGCTTCTGAAACCCCTTTCTACTGCCTCCTACCCTCTCACCCCTATTAGCCATGGTCCTTACAATTAATGCTTCCCAAAGGACGACTTCCCTGATGGCCATCCAAAACCCACATTTTCCAGCCCAGTTTCCCAGGAACAATAAGAGGAATCCAATACAGGGAAGCTGGTCTTGGCTCAAAAGAAGTTGCTACAGGGACTGGAGAGATGATGGCTCGGAGGTTAAGAGAGGTCCCAAGTTAATTCCCAGCAACCACATGGTGGCTCACAACCACCTGTGATGAGATCTGGCGCCCTCTTCTGGTGTGCAAGTATACATGCAGGCAAATGCATAATAATGAATCTTTTTTTTTTTTTTAAGTTGCTGCAACATCTTTCTTGAAAGTATGTGAAGAACAGATGTGGTCAGCAGTCGGGTGATCCAGACCGGTAACCGCTGAAGGCAGTCACTCCAAAAGAAAGCCACAAAGCCACCTTCAGAGAAAGCAGGGTAATGAACACACTAGATTTACCTACACAGGGGAGGACTTTACACCCTAGCCACTTGTGTTTGCTCTAAACCCAACTCCAGAACACTCACTCGGAACTGGGAGGGGGTTTCCAGGACACTGAAGTCCGAGGCAGCGGAGATCCCGTCCTCCAGCGTCTCCAGGAACACCTTCTGAAACTCCAGCATCTCCGGCAAGCTCCCGAATAATGACTCCATCTACACGGAGGGAGTGGTGGGCCCAGGTCAAGCTAGACTCCCCCTGGCCTCCACCACAGAGGTGTGCCCGAGAAGCAGGCATCGCAGGGCCATAATCCATGCCGAGAGAGACAGCTCCGGCTCCCCGCCGCAATAGTACAGTTCCAAGATAATGTTTTCAGTGGCTTGGGATTCAGTTCATGGGAAACATGAGAGAGGAGCTAATTCTTGTGACTTAATATTAACAATTCACATATTAGAATTGTTTGGCTGTCTCTCCTGCCAAACAAACAAGAAACCCAAACCACCCTTCTGCCTTTATAAATGTGCCGCTGTGCTTTCTAGAACAGAGGCCACACGCACGACTTTCTGAAGACCCTTCCGCTTCAGTCTTCCCTGGGACCCTGTAGCTGTGCTCTAGAACACGTGTGTCCAGCCTGCAATCCGTGGGCTACATGAAGCCATGGGCAGCAATGGATACAGCCCAGCCCAAACTCGCCAAATTATTTCAAACATGATGTCCTTTGCACCAGGCATGGTGGCACACAACTTTAATCCTAGCACTAGGGAGGCAGAGGCTGGCAGAGCTCTGTGAGTTCAAAGCCAGCCTGATCTCCGTAGTGAGTTCCAGGTCAGCCAGCATACACAGACAAACTGTCTCTTAAAAAAATAATTTTTTTTTGCAAGTTTTTGTTCTGTTTAACTAATTCTTTGGTATGAATTTTGTAGGTAAAAGCACCGCTTTGTAATGTTAAAGGAACACACGTGGTCTAGGACCCCTGCTAAAAGGCTAGAAAACAGGACTGGCATGTTAGTGCCCAATAAAAGAATAGGCTAGGTACCTACCTCGTCTTGGGTAAGAAAGGTCTCGTTCTGGAGTGGCTCCAAGTATGATTCAAAGAGGCAGCTCAGATCCTGAAAACCAAGAGAAGAGTCTCTTTAACATAAATCTCCATAGTAACCAGTTGATTCCAGTAGCCTAGGCAGCAACCCCAGAAACTCCGCTCAGGAACAGTGACAAACGTTTGTCTTGTTGAAATTCCTCCCCTTCAAAGTAGTTCCCATTGCCCACCTAATACAAAAGTGGACGCCACCATACTGCCACCTGCTGGCTATTTTCCATGCTTACTATAAACTGCCAGCACCCGCTGAGTAACCTCTTACTGACAGAACAGGTGCTGGCTGTCTTTCCTGCCACAGAAGCCATCATTTCTCCATGGGGGAGCAGGGAGGGGCAGCTGGGTACTGCTGCAAAAACTGTTGGACACCAGTGACCTGGCTTCCTCTTCTGTGTCAGAGAGCATGGTGACAGTTCTGGGTGGAGTTGTGGGGGACAAGACCGAGGCAGCTCTTCAACTTCGGGCTGCAGCCGGTGGAATTTCCAGCTCACGTGTTCAAGTGCGAGAACACCGTCACCGAGTGGCAGAGACGTTTCCCATCTAAGCCGCTCTTGAGTCTCTACTGGACCAGTCTCTCGGAGAACACAAGAGTGGGTACTCACACAACCCACTAAAGTTTAGATTTAAGGACTTGAAGCCAGGAGCAGTCTAGAACGTAGTGCCAGAAAAGACTTCTTTCGGGGTGGGGTGGGGTCTCATTTCTTCTGAAGAACTGGGAGTCGTGCATCCGGCACCGGTTGACTACCGAGTCGATGGAACGGACTCCCTGGCCTTGCACGGGACAAGTCTTAGAAGCCAGAGCTGTGGCACTGCTGTCCCTTCACAATGAAAAGTCTCCCTCCCCTCCCTACCCCCTCCACAGCAACCTGGGATGTGAGAAGGGCAGTTAGCAGTGCATTACTGGGGCAGATCTCAGGGACACACCATGTGGAAGTCATCTGTGAGCTACTAGGCCAGGTTTCGGGGACACACAGAGGTGGAAAATCTTCAGGTGCATGCAAAGACTTGGAGTTAGACTCAAGCAAGAACACTCGATAGTAAGTGTCACACACACACAGAGAGAGAGAGAGAGAGGGAGAGAAGGAGAGAGAGAGAGAGAGATGAAGGACTAGTAGGGAATGCATGTGAATTACAGGCTCACAAGAAGTGCTGGTTGTGTCAGACTGTAATCACTCCTGTCCAGGCCAGTGCCACACCTTCCGGGCACTTACTGCACAGCAAGAGCTGGCCACGCTGAGCTGGGGGTGACAAAGAGCCTCCATGCCTGGAGCCCTATGGAAACAAATGGTGGGGTTCTGGCAGGGAAGGGAGAGTTGGTCCCTCCTTGCCTACCTGCTCACACATCTGTCCACAGCGAACAAGCAGCATTGAAAATGACCCTCCTGGCGTAAGGCAGTGCGCAAGGGAGATGGCAAACAGCCATGACAGAGGAGAATGAGTTCTATTTTCTGCCCTGGGCCCAGCAGCTCCTGGGATGCCACGCATGGTGTCCAGTGGCTTTTGAGCATCAGAGGCAATTCCCCGCTCCCAGAGCTCCTTGGGTGAAGGTTGTGGCTATGCTGGGTCACTTAGGAACCTCTGCGCTCTCAGACAGTCACTCTAGCTCTCTTCCACTGGATATGGGGCAAGACCTGATGGAAAGCACACTTCAAAGGCCTCTCTAGGTTTTCTTCTTCCCCCGCAGACTAATACACAATTGTGAAGGGGACTTTGAGTCCTGGGTCAACAGCAGAGGCATTCTGAGAGGAGGACTCAGCTTTGTTGTTGTTTTGTTTTGTTTTTAAGTCTGCTGTAGGCCAGCCTGGCCTCGAACTCGCCACAAAGCTGAGGATACCCTTAGCTCTGATCTTCCTTTCCCTGCTTCCAGAGTGTTGACATTACAGGCATGCACCATCATAGCCAGTTCTGCAGTATCAAACCCAGGGTCTCGAGTATGCTAGGCAAGTACTTGTGCCAACTAAGACGGTCCCAGCTCCTCAGGTCAGTTGCGTAGAGAAAGGGTGATAGCCATGTGTGTGTGCTATCCTGGAGTTCATAGTAACAAGCACAGGGCCCAACAAGGAAGTTGGAGAGGACCTTCCAAGGGCCACGAAGCACAACAAGTCAGACCAGGCCCGGATTCCCAGCCACTGCCCTGTGCCATCCCCTTCTAGAAACCGACAAATCAAGCAAGCTTAAAATAGACCCAGGACATGAGCAAATGCTTAAAGCAAAGAACCCCATCTTTCTAGCCTCTTGTGTTACTAAAGCACTGAGGGCTAGCTGATCAGATAAATGAATTCAGTGGGCACACAAGACTGTGGTAGCTAGGCCTTTGTCACGGTATGAGAATGCCTCATGTGAGGGCTGAAATACCTGTGCATGGGCCTCCCTTCTGCAGAGGGGCCTCCATGGCTAGAGCTGACCACCTGGACTCTGTGGACCTACATATATTCAGGGCCCCAGGGTACAGTATTTTCCCCAGATCCTCGTAACCTAAAGTGATCTCTATCCTTCTGCTAAAGGAGTGTAGACTCCATCCGCAGAGATTGCAAATAATGAACTACAACATCTGTTTCCATAGTGAAAGCTACCTTGGCAACAGAGACCAGCCAAGAACCTTTCTTTCTTTCGTTCTTTCTTTCTTTCTTTTGGAGTCTTATCAATTCTTTCACCCTCTCAACCTGCCCGTCCTTCCCTGCAGTAATTCCCCTCATGGAGCAGCTCCTGAGTGACACGTCCTGAGCAGAGGTGATCTGCAGCCTCTGCCAGCATGACCTCTCACCATCAAAAAGACAGGAATGCCCAGCACCTCCCGTTACCTTCACATAAGACTTCTCCGTGTCTACAAGCTCCTGGATGACTTTTCGGAGGCGGTCTGCGTCTGAGAGGTGGCGAGCCAGAGGCCTGGAAGGTGGGTCCTCTCTCTCCGTTGGGGCATCCATGCTGCTGGCGTGGGTGCTGTTCAAGCCCCTGCAGAGCTCAGTGATCTGTTCAGCACTCTGAGAGATGGCAAGAAAGGGAAAGGCGTGCTCAGACTGCCCTCACTATAACCCGAGTCCTGTAAGGAAGATGACATCTATAATGCCTCTCTTGGTACCCGATGCCCCCACTATCTCAGGAGCTGCGGATGTTTTAAGCACTAAAATCAAAGAGTCGGGAATGAAGCTAACTTATCTACTAGCGTTGAGGTTGCTCTAAAAATGCAGTCATGGAGCTTTCTCAACAGAACACACAGAAGGCAGACTCACTGAATCCATCCTGTCCTCAGCAGTTGGCCCAACAACAGGCTTTCCAACTCCCAATGTTCTGGGAGACTCAGACATGGCGAGGTACCATGGCAATTTTAGGACGGCTTGGCCCCAGTCTGCCTCAAGTTCTGCCCTCAAATCTAACCATTCAGCCTGAGCCCAGCAGCAGTTATAAATGAAAACGCTCAAGCTGGCCATGCATATACTAGGAAGGAATAGAAGGTGGCACACGAATTGCATGCCGCAGACACATTAGCTGTTCTGGCCCACCATCCCTTTATGTTCTCCTTCCTCTGCCCGCCCCCCACCCCAACAGTGTCTTCATTTAATGGAAATCAGAATCGAGGCAAAACCCCAACAACCATCCCCTGCCTGGCTTTTCTATCCAGTGCAATGATCCTGTTTAGTCTCCAAAGAAGTGGAGCCTAGCTCCTGCCCAAGTAAAGACGACTTGCCAACGTTAGAAACATCAAAGTGCAGACTGGAGGGGTGGAGGGAACAGTCTGGAAACCAACGAGAGTGTGAGTGGACACTCAGATGGAAAAATCACCTGGGAATAGAAAATCAAGGAGCAGCAGCTAAGAGGCAAATTATAATGTGGTCCTAAGGGGTACATGAGGCAGGGAAGAACCCAGAATGTACTAGTGATGTAATGGGAAAATGGAGGCAGTAACACTCAGAGCCTAACTCCAGGTGAGACTCGGACATGGTGGACCCGCCGCCGCCTTCATTTTTACCCAGATCCCCGTTTACAATAAGCTGAAGGAGAGGTTGTGTTTACCACCGGACATACAGACTTCAGGAGAGTTTACTATAAAACAGTTCAAGCAGAAAACCAATTTTCCTTCAACATACATATTTCTACATTTTTAGTTTTCCATTTGAACACAGATATTTCCGGTAATGCCTATCGGGAGATGTATATAAAATTCAGTAAGGAAACAGATGTGGAGGGCCTGGAGCATAACTCAGTCGAAGCAGTGCTCTCCTAAGTTGTTCAAATTCCTGGGTTTGGTCCCAAGCTCTATGAAAGCCTATTTGGACGTGGTAGTGTGTGGGCATCTGTAACCGCAGCACTCAGGAGGCAGAGGCAGGAAGGTCAGAAACTAAAAGTTATCTTCAACTACAAAGCAAGTTGAGGGCTACGTCAGACTTGCCCACCACACACACACACACACACACACACACACACACACACACACATTTGCAGGCTTCAGAATCCAGCTTGGTTTGTCAATGCCTCATACCGTGTTTACAACAGTCCAGTGTCATGATCTGTTCTGGAAGTTCCTAACAGCCTAAACACACAGGGGAGAGAAGCCGGAGGTGGCGGCCTTTCTCCTCTGGGACATGAGGAGCATGAAGGAAGAACTAGAACTAAGACGCCAAGGCCCCTGCCTTCCCCTCCTCACCAGTGGATCCCCGCCTCACACTTTCCAACACCATGCTGTTCTGAACCAGAACCCCTGGGGCCCCATCACAGGCGGGGGTTTTGTTTGTCTGTTTGCTGTTGGGTTTTATTTTGTGAGACAAGGTCTTGCTATGTAGACCTGGCTGGCCAGGGACTTGCTGAGTAGGTCAGGCTTGCTGTGAGCTTGCAGTGGTCTTCCCTACCCCACGTGCTGAGACCGCAGGTCTATGCCACAGATGAGCAATGTGATCGTTTTGAAGACAGGGTCACCCTATGTAGCTTCAGGCTACTTTGCATATGGGATCCTCCTACCTTGCCCTTCCAAGTCTTAGATTGCATGGATGCATCACCATGCCCAACAACCACCGGTATTTATTAAAAAAGCTTCCCCCTAAGAGATACAGAGGTAGGGCCTTTGGGAGGAACTACTGGTCTACCCATGAGGATAGCTACACCTGCCCGGCTTTCCTAGGAGTGACACTAACTCCAACTTATCCCCCTTTCCCCTGGGCGGCAACATGTAAGAGGCATAGAATAGGTCTACACCCAGAAATGCACATTGGCAAAAGCCATGCCCAGACTGTAGCCCTGGTTCTAGGCCTAGCCTTCTACTAACTGCCAAAAAGCCCATGAGGATAAATAACAAGCTCTAAAACTCACTTACTTGAAATTTTATTCTGGGAGTTGCACCACAAGCTCAGACAATGCAGTTCTGTAATCCTGCACGCTAATAGTCCCCAGAGCTGCAGAATCTATATTAAGTCTGCATATACCGCACAAAATAAGCTCTGACAAAATGCACCATAAGTTAAATGGCATCTGGTGAGATTACAGTTTTGCCTTGCTGGGATGTCAGAAATCACACCTAACGTTGCGGTGTTAAAATAACAAGATTTCAAAAATAAAGTATCTTGCCATTTTGGAAAAATCAGAATTCATTTTAAAAACACTTCTCATGGGATTGGCTTCCAAAAAGAAGTGAATGTTAGCAGGGTTATTTCAATGGCAAATTTATCTGTCAAGACACTTCAATTAAGTGTTCAAGTACTGCAGAGATGCCTTTTGCACACATAACAGTTTAAGCTGTTACTTAAAGGTGGCTTCAAAGGTTATCTGGATCTTGAGGAGAAAGGGTCACAGAGTAAAAGAGTGATGGTAAGCTTTGTCTTGTTTTTCAAAACAGTTCTCTGTGTAGCCCTGGCTGTCCTGAAACTCACTCTGTAGACCAGGCTGTCCTTGAACTCACAAAGATCCACCTGTCTCTGCCTCCTGAGTGCTGGAGTTAAAGGTGTGCTCCACCACAGCCAGGCTGACAAATGTTTTTAAGGATGGATGTGACAGCTTCACCTGGATTCAGGTTACTTCCTCTATACTTATCAATAGAGATAAGCATCAAACAGTAACAGGCCACACAGTCTGCATGAGTATGGCTTAAATTACTTAGGACCAGTGACATTTCATCATCCTTAACTGATGAGTTCATTGCAGCAATGCCTGTCTGTCAGGTGAGTGCACTCTTCACCATGGGGTGCAAGAGAAGAGGGAACTTGCGTATGTTGCCCACAAGCACCACACTTGTGAGATCCTCCCTCGGAACATGCCAGCACCTTGGCTTTAGCATGACCCACTGATACTTTGCAGGCTCTTCCCAGCACTGGCCACTCCTAACACCCACCACAGCACGGGAGAGAAACCTACTCTTCCTGCTGCGTCTGTCTGCCAAAGGGTGCAGACTCTCCTGCCTGCGTGTTAGAAGGATGGAGTCGTCACTGCTCAGAGTGGTGAATGCAACGAGCACCCTTGCATACACGGCACCTTAGGGTCCGTCTGGGGGAGAACTTGGAAGTCTGTCTGGCCGGCCAGGCCTCAGCCCTAAGAAGGTTGCTTGAAAATCAAAAGACATGGTTACACGTTGGAGATAGGCATGAATGGGGCCTCAGGTGTGCGCTGTGGAGTATGTGCAGGGGAGTGTGCGCGCAGTGGAGTGTGTGCACAGTGGAGTGTGTGCAGTGGAGTGTGCGCACAGTGGAGTGTGCGCACAGTGGAGTGTGTGCACAGTGGAGTGTGTGCAGTGGAGTGTGTGCAGTGGAGTGTGCGCGCAGTGGAGTGTGCGCGCAGTGGAGTGTGTGCGCAGTGGAGTGTGCGCACAGTGGAGTGTGCGCACAGTGGAGTGTGTGCAGTGGAGTGTGCGCGCAGTGGAGTGTGTGCAGTGGAGTGTGCGCGCAGTGGAGTGTGTGCAGTGGAGTGTGTGCAGTGGAGTGTGCAGTGCAGTGTGTGCAGTGGAGTGTGCGCAGTGGAGTGTGTGCAGTGCAGTGTGCGCGCAGTGGAGTGTGTGTGCGCAGTGGAGTGTGTGTGCGCAGTGGAGTGTGTGTGCGCAGTGGAGTGTGTGCAGTGGAGTGTGTGCAGTGGAGTGTGCGCGCAGTGGAGTGTGCGCACAGTGGAGTCTGTGCAGTGGAGTGTGTGCAGTGGAGTGTGTGCACAGTGGAGTGTGTGCAGTGGAGTGTGTGCAGTGGAGTGTGCGCGCAGTGGAGTGTGCACACAGTGGAGTGTGCGCGCAGTGGAGTGTGTGCACAGTGGAGTGTGTGCAGTGGAGTGTGCGAGCAGTGGAGTATGTGTATTGGAGTGTGTGCAGTGCAGTGTGCAGAGTAGAAAACACTGGCCTGCTGAACTATGTAGGAGCCGACTGTTCTCGTTTTCAGTGTGTAGCAACCAAGCTCAATGGTAGGGTTCTGTGTTTTCAAAATGATAGAAAACATTTACTTCCTGACTTTCTTATAAGAATAAATGAAAAGTTTCTGTTAAAAATATCTGGAAAAGCAAAGTATAGACACTCCTGCCCCACACCCAACATATTATTTCAAGTTTTTGCTCGGCATGGTAGAGCACACCTAAAAATCTAACACTGCAAAGTCTTGGGCAAGAGGATTACAACACCCAAGCCTGGGCTACATAGTGAGACCTTATCTCCAAACAAAACGATTTAAAATTGCCAGGTATTTAGAGCCACCAAATTTGGTCCCTACTTGAAAACAATTTTATCTTCTTTATAGACATGGCCCTGACTCACTTGGAGCTTGGAATTCAGACAGACGCCTAGGCAAAGTTCTTCTGGGTTTTGTTTCAATGTGTGGATAAGGCACCTTCTGCCTCCCCACAAAAAAAGGCAATGTGTCTATTTTCAAGGAGCCCAGAAAAACATTTGTGGGGATGGTGCCAACACTGCCTACAATGAACAAGTACCTAACCTCAGTTACTCTTTGGAAGAAAGTAGGACAGAGTTTTCCTCAACGAAGTTCTGCATGACCCTATAGCCCTCCTAACCTGGACAACAAGGCACTTG